ATCGCGATCTGGAGGTTCAGTTGAATGCCATTGCATGCGAGAATTGCAGATCGAAGAAGTGCAAGTGCGATCGGAAGCTGTGGGTAACCCGCATGCCAGCTGCAGAACTTCATCTAACCAACACAGCCCATGCTGTTCTCAATGCCAGACATCATCGCTGCCATGCCACTATCAAGAGGGTGGTAAGCGAGGGCTTCCAGCCGCATACATCACTGCTCTTGAGAAGCGGCTGGCAGACACCGAGGCTGCACTCTCCGCAACACTCACTGTCGTCCAAAACCAAGACTTAATACAGTTGAGCGACGTTCGGCTCTCAGATCCATCATCGCACGCACCAAAGCGACAAGGTTCAAAAGCAGAAAAGCTTGAAGAATGGAAGCGCCTGCCTTTGCAGACGACCGAGCAGTTGACAGCTTGGCTACAAGCGCAGTGTCGCGAGACGGCAGCCCCGGAAGTATTTCCGTCGAGACACAGCAATTCCGTCCCTGATAGCGACGGAGCGCGCAAGACATCAGGGACAGCTGAAGGTCGACCGAATAGGGGTGCGCATGCTTCTCGTCAGATACCCGGCGATAAATCCCCACCGGTGTCAGTCCTGCAGCAACTGAAAGATTGCGAAATGCCTATAGCACCGAACATGCAGCGAGCTCCCACTGATCCAGCAAGATGGCACGAAAACTACTTCTAGAACTCGAGAGGAGTGTCTGGCAGATGCTGCTGCGCTGCCAGTCAGACTGAGTCAGGTAGGCCGCTTGTCCTCAGTCACACGAGTCAGCCACCAAAGATGCCGATCGTCGGCAGCCGCAGGACCAGCACACGCTCAAAAGGCGATGCTGGCCATTCATCACGCTATGGTCGGCACTAGACGTATGACACGATCGAGAGCCTGGAAAAATATTGCTATCGTAATACATTCTAAAGTTTGGAATACACTGGGAAACGCTCATGAGACACGCAGGCTCTTCTCCCGATGTCGTCGCACGATTGATCCTCTACTCGGATTTCAGAACACTATCAAGCACTCCGCACCTCTTTACCCAACTCCTCGCGCGCTTGCCGTAGATGTACATCGGAATCGTGCAAAGCGTGACAGCGACGGTGGTTCCACCGATGACATAAAACGCGTCCCTCACACCCTGTACCGCGATCCAGTCATTGGCGTAGAACGTCAGGCCGAATGCGAAAAGGTTCTTGACAAAGTTCATGATGGCAAAGGCTTCGGCGGCCTGCTCTCGATGGCAGTCGGAGACGTAGGTCACGACGGCGGTAGTTCCCAGCTGAACACCCAGGTTGATCAGACCCATGCAGACGATGACTGGGATGGGCCACGGATCGCGGTTGTGGAGTGATTGGCCCCAAGCGAAGAAGCCGGTTGCGGTGAAGATCAGGTAAGTTATCATAACTGGGAGACGGAACTCAGGTTCTAAGACATCGTCAGTTGCTTGTAATCACAGCTTGGGTCGTCTACACTCACCGAAAGTACCCTTGTTGCGTGTCGACATCCACTTCGCTACACCATCGATGATCGGACCGGCTACCAGCGTGGCCAACAACGACGCTACGAACGAGGACAGGTTCGTTGCGCCAACCGCGCTCACGGAGAAACTGTATGGTGGCGCGGAAAAGATCTGCGACAACGTAATGGAGATCAAGACAAGCCAGGATACGCAAATGGTGAAGAGCAAGGTCGCCCACATGACTACCGGGCTCATGATCACCACAAAAGGGCGTAGGAATGTGCGCCAGAAGGAGACATGATCCCAGTAACCAGACCATGGCATGAGAGTCTTGACGTAAGGGTATGGGGCCTCGGAAGAGACGGACGACTGGACCGCATAGTCTTCGACGCGCTCGGCGGACTTCTCCTTCTCAACCGCGTCGCTTTCCACATTCTTGGAGCTCGTGTCGATGTTGATGACGTCGTGGCGGTGGTAGGCGGACTCGGGCATGAAGAAGATGATAAGGATGAGCATGATGACAAAAGCACCGCCCATTGCGTGCAATGCAATGCGGTGAGAGCCGTATTGGATGACGGATCCAGCGATTGGACTCGCTAGGTTGATACCACCGAGGACACCAAGGTTGAAGATGGCCATTCGGAATCCGCGCTCATGAACGTGCCAGATGTCTCCGACGGATGCTGGGATGAGTGCTTCAAACGGTGCCATGCAAAGACCTTGGACCGCTCGGGCTGCCGCCAGAGAAGGAAAGCTGGTAGCTTCCGCAGCCCAGAAACAGGACACCGCCAGGCCAACTGTGGTTGCGAGGTAGATTGGTCGTCTCCCGAGTTTGACGGCTAAGGTGTTGCAGATGAGACTACCCACTGCGATGGCGACGATGCAGGATCCATTGCAACCCAGAGTGAACCTCTGTAATGGGACGTTGAATTGTTCTGCCAGGGGCACGAAAGCTGGTGTGAGCAGCGGACCGACAGCTACAATTGATGCGATTAGCTCAGTATGTCGTGTCTTGATATCGCGAGCCTACCTCCTACAGCGCCGCAACCGTATGCGATGACGACAGTGAACATCTCCTTCTTCCATCTTGGCCAATTGTAGGGGTCGTTCGGCGAATCAGAAGGCTGCGGCACCAGCACAATCTGCCCAGTAGGATCATGCTTCAGCAGCCCGCGATCAACATCGTTCGTGATCTCGAGATCAATGCGACCAAGCTCGCTTAACGGAGCTGTCCCAGGGACATGTTCGAGCTTGTAGTCTTGGAGTATACCCAGAGGCATGGTAACTCTATGTCCGCGGTGTGATTGGAATGGTAGCGCAAGGGAGCACACGTGGAAGGATAAACGATATGCAAAGACGCAATCTAGATCGCACAGCAGATGGATGGAAGAAGCGTGGAAGCAATCCTAAATTGTCGAAGATGCGACGGACACTATAATGTGGTGGTGGTGGGGGATGCCTTAATCCCACGGCAGTTGAGCTTGGGCGACTGCATACAGGGAATGATGATTCGGTGGTGTGCGGGGAAGGATGGGTAGGATGCGGGGGCTAGCTCCGGGTTGGTCGCTCAGGTATCCACTGCTTCATGTTGCAGACGGCTAGTGATGCCAGCATGCCTCGGGTTAATGCGACCGATGGAGATGCTGTCAATCGTCGCCTCTTTTGGGTGTGCGACCGCATAGGGGAAACAAGAGATCGGCAGAGGCTCTGCTTTAAACTTCACATAAGGTCCCAACAATGGCTTCGTGGCAGTGGTGGCTTCATGAGAGGTAACGTAGCCATGATCGACATGCGCGGATGTGGATGGGTGTTGCTGATCTCTGAACTTAACAATATGGCGGTTTCAAGCTATCGTGATGGCTCGCACATGGCGTTGTAGGCCTAAAGGACAATCGCATCGGCTACGAGTCAGGTTTTGCACCGGACAACGTCCGCTCCACCAGGTTGGAGCCAGCGGCTAACGTTGCCGCATCATCAGGCCCACCCCATCACGACCCTGGCTTCTACTGACTCTTACCGTAGGTGCTTTCTAGCTCAGCGCAGACCGCGTCAGTAACCTCCTTTGTCGACGCCTTGCCTCCCAGGTCGCGCGTGGCAATGCCTCGCTCCGTGATGGCTTCCACGCTTTCCATCAATCTCTTTGCCGCTTGCTCTTCGCCTAGCCATGCTAGCATCTCAGACGCTGTCCAAAAGGTTCCGACTGGGTTCGCGACACCCTTGCCGGTAATGTCGAAAGCCGAGCCATGAATCGGTTCGAACATGGACGGATGTTGGCGTGTGGGGTCCACTGGTAACACTTAGCATGGGCAACGAATGCAACCATGTGGAAATGAAGAATACGTACGGTTGCTGGTGGGCGCAATGCCAATGGAGCCTGCAAGTGCGGCTGCGAGATCGGAAAGAATATCCGCGTGCTGGACGAGTCAGTCAAAGCCGAGGTGAATACTCTGTACATTGAGTGTTACCCACCAAGTTTGTTGCAACTATCGTATCCAAAGATTTCGGATCAAGTACCATCCGGCACGTCATGGCGTCGACGAGCATCTTGTCGCACTTGACATCAGGAAAGTCTTTCGCAACTTCAGCAGCAATCTCATCCCACATAACCATGCCGTTGCGCTGCGCGTTACTCTTAGTAACGACTGTGATCTGTTTCCTCGGCCTGCTTTGAGCTGTTTCGAAGGCGAAGCGGATGAGTCTTTCCACACCATGACGGGTGAAGATCGAGACCTCCGTAGCAGTCTCCCACTTCTGGCCTCTATGCGATCGGCCTCCCTGTCCCGCGTATTCACCTTCGGAATTTTCTCGTACGATGACCCAGTCTAGGTCGCCATGCTCTGCGTTGCGTAAAGGCGATGACGTTCCCCGAAAGATCTTGGTGGGTCGCACGTTCGCATATTGCTGGAAGGTCTGGCAGATCGCGAGCCGCAAGCCCCAGAGAGAGATGTGGTCAGGTACATCTGTTAGGGGTTCAGCTCAAGGTCGTGTAAGAGTCAGTATCTCATACGTACCCGGGGCACCTACAGCACCGAAAAGGAGCGCATCATGCTTCTTGAGCTTCTCTAATCCTCCATCGGGGATATATTGGCCTGTTTTCTTGTAGGTCTCGGAACTCCAGTCGTAGTCTTCAAACTGCAGTCCGAATGTGCCGTCAAGTTGTGCCAGCTTCTTCAATACTTGTACGCCAGCATTGACAACTTCAGGGCCGATGCCATCGGCGCCCATAGTCGCAATAGAGTGCGTGCGCATGTTGGTGGCTGATGGAATGTTGGTTGGGACAGGGAGTAACGTCCAATGAGTAATCGTAACGGCGGTAAGCAATTGAGTTGATATCTCTTGAGTTCTATGCGCAGTATCTTTTAAGCCTCATAGTCCGGACTAAGAAATCCCATATTCACACTTCGTAGACGATGGGAGTGTTGCCGAGCTCGCCACTGGTGCGCTGGATAAGGGTAAGTGCGGGGGAACGCGGACAAACAAAGTCCGCCGCTTTCAAACCATGCCACCACACCCAGCACTTCGAATTTATCCTGGCGCTTGAAACTATGTGAAATCCCAATGCTGCTCTTGATCGAACCAGAAGGGGATGTCGAAGCCAGAGAAAGGGTCTAGGCCGTTGGAGTACTCTGTTGATGAAGCGTTGGCACCCTCCGTTCCAACGAATATGTTCCAGTAGCTGTTGTGCTCGAGAAAAGTAGCATTGTGGTTCAGGTCGCCCGTCGCACTGGAATCGAATGCTGCATTATATGGTGGATACTGCGCGTCATGATGAGGATCGATGTCATTCCTCCCTTGGCTTCCGACTTGATCTGGATGGTCGTTGCGGGTAGGTAGTGATTGCTCGTGCAGGCTTGAACGTATGTCCAATCCATCTTTCTGAGAAAGGGCTGCATCTCCAGCGAACTCTGAGTCGTATCGAGAAACCATATGAGCAGACTTCTGCAGCATTCGAGCCCGTAAGTCGCGAATGGCCGCCGAGCTTGCTTCAGGCCAAGCACTGCCGCGTAGCGTGAGGTGTTGAAGTATGTCAAGACTTTTATCTGCGAATCTTGGTTGTACATGTTAGTAGTGGTAATACAATTTCGAGATATTGATTACCTGATGACGATGCTGTGATCAATGCGGCCCTCGTGGGCGGCGTAGAACATGATGAATGTGCTGATCCACACAGCCCAGGTGCAGGAGGGCCAAAGGAGAGCCAATTGGTAATGATATATTTCAGACCCGTCTTTGCCCTGGATAGCGGTGTGCAAGGTAGTGATGATGCTACGCGCAGAACTGATGCACTGTTGTAAGGCGGCATTATAAGCGACATCTTTACTACCGGTAGCTAAGACGGGACGATACAGCGAGATAATCAACTCGTGTCTAAGTAGTGTCAACACTACAGTCGCGTAAGGAGAAGCGCCACATCGGCTATCCGGGTCGATGTAGTCCTCAACATCGTTCCACCATTGGCCAAGCTTAGCTATGATTGATGTCGCTCGGTCAGGATCATGCTGGACGTAGTGTAGCGACTTGTTGCGCAATTCGATGATTTCGCCACGCAGCCTGGCTTGTTGGGCAACCAGGTGCAGCAGGTGGAGTTCACGACCTACAGGTTGTGAGATATGGCACAAAAGAGACATTACCTAACTTACGAGGCTCGACGCGCGTCTGCAGATGGTGTTCCGCGAGGGGAAAGCAGACGTCGATATCGTCGTCAGGTAGGCCGAGTGGGAGGCCCATGGATTGGGCAAGAAGCCGATCAACAGCATAAAGTGACCAGAAGACGCGTTGCCGAAGCTCTTTTGTGCTTGATGTGAAGGTCGAAAACCTGGCTGGGCAACGATGAAGCCCTAGCTGCACAGCCATCCGCATAATCAGCCCTCCAAGACGGGAAGCGGCGTTCAAGCGAAGCATAGAGACTAGGAAGAGCTGCACACTGAGTGCGGCTTGTAGCGTGAGTATTGTCGTGGGACGAGAAAGTATCGTCCGGAGACTATCTACAGCAGCATCATACGATGGAAAGACGATACAGGCAGGATGTCGAGTACTCGGTAGCCCTGGCGATTGTCGATGGTCTGCAAGCGAGATGGACATGATCGAACGCACTATCACCAGCTGTAGGTCTTCCGAAGCACCATGATCGGGAAAGCCATTTCTTGCACAGCAATCGAAGTACTCTAGGACGGTTGTGGCGTGTACGAAGGGGTAGAACGGGTGCCAATTGGCAAAATAGCTCCCAGAAAAAGCGACCAGGTCGCGAAACGTTATGTGAGAGGTCTGCCCGTGAGAGATCTCAGCTTCTCGCCATAAGCATCCGGAGGAATTCGGTTGCACTAGAGAGAGATGGTCGTCCTCGCCTGGCACGATGTCGCTGCCGGGCGTTTCGCCGTCTGTAGGCACTGCAGAGCGTCGGATCGCACCATAGACTGACCTAATGAAGAAGATGCCGCTGGCACTGCCCACGAAACCCGTGAACTTGTCACCAGGGACGCTTCGCATCAAGCCCACCTCCCGAGCAGGTTGTTCTGATGTTCGCCGTCGCTTTGCAGGCGGCTGTTCGTCCACGAAATCCTCGGATGGCGCGTCTCCATCTTGACCACGTTCCATAACCGCGATCACGCTCGGTGATGTCAGAAAGCGATATAGTGCTATATCCGATGGTTGTTGCTGCTGACCTAATGAGGTTGGTGAAAGCGCTGGATCTGTAACATCGAGACGGAATGACGGAGGGAATCAGGCGCGCGAGCTGTCTAATACTGCGTATTTAATCACCTGTGAAGCGCATTCGGCGACACGCAAAGCGATGAAAATGCCATCGGTGGGCGGAAACGACGCGAGAGTGCAGTGGCAGCGGCATCGACGGCGACCGTGCAAACCTCGGCGAGCTCCGCAGCTGACTTCCAAGGTTGGCGTGCCTGACGCGTGCGCGCCCTCACCCGTTCCATCGCAACATCATCCATGGCACTACCCAAATAATGTCATCGGCAACCCTTGATGCCGCTATCGGGCGTCAGCTACCCACCAGGGTCAGCAAGGCGTGTGAGAGGTGTCGTCGCAACAAGAGCCGAGTCAGTCACGCCCTCCCACCGCCTGTCACGGGCGCCGTCGACTGAGTATCCAAGTGCGACACATCGCGCCCTTGCGCGCTCTGCATTCGAGCAAACGTCGAATGTATTGTAAGCAATGTCGAAGTTCCACGCGTACCGAAGAGGAGACGCACCCAAGGCCCCTCGCGCGAAGCTTCACATGAGCAACCACAGGCACCAGTCCAGCATCATGACGACACGCATCAAGCGACAGACCCGGAAAACAACAGTCGCGATGAAAGCAGACGCGCCAGTATCGCGGAAGGTGAAGCCAACTCAGCAATGGATATTGCACACCAGATCTACCGACTGGGAAGTCAGCCAACATTGAGCCGGACGACATCAGCTATACCGGGCGGCAATGTCTATGGCAGAGCCCCAACATCTCGCTTAGATCGTACTCAGAGACGCCCTATAGCGGCTATTCTCGGTCATTCTCTGCCGCCAATCGACATGATGCGGGCACTCTTGGAAGAGTACTTCGACTCGGTGCATTGGTTTAGCTTGGTCATCTATGAGCCAAGATTCCGGCCAAAACTCGACTCTATCAAGGATGGCCTTGCCTATCCGTCGCAGAAGTCATTCCTCCTCCTCTTGTCTACAGTTGTGGGAATGGGAGCATGGTACAAGTCTCACAAGAAGGACGTGGATCCGGACTTCCCAGATGAGGATTGGCACGCCTGGTCGCAGTCCCTCGTTCAAGGTGCGGGTTCCCAATTGGCTGAACTGATGGACCAGAGTACCATTTCGTCTGTTCAGACGTGCATCTTGCTCGGCTCCTACTATGTCTACCATGGGAAGCCTAATCTATCCTTTGCGTTACTAGGCGCAACCATTCGAACCGCACAAGCCATCGGCCTCCACCGCCAGCCGCTACGAGGCGACCCTCACTACGTCGAAGAGAGGAAAAGAGTCTGGTGGACTATCTACACATGGGACCGGTAATGCGCCCCTCCCTGAAGATACGAAGGACCTCAATACAGAGTCTGAGCCTCCTCGTATACTGTAGCATCGTTAGCTGACTTGTCCAGCTTCGCTTCCATTACGTACGGACGACCCATCGGCATCAACGAGAAGGACTGCAATACACACCACCCGATCGACGTATGCGAGTCGCCCTACTTCAGAGGGACGAACCCCCCAGAAGCCGACTTAACAATATGTTACTCGTCCTACCAACGAGAGCTCAACAAACTCTACCTTATCGCGTCACCCATCATCGAGACTATCTTCGGGATGCGGGCGGTGGGACCCAACGAACGGCCGAGCGGACCACAATACACAGATCAGATCACAGACGTGACGGAGAAGCTTTGGGCGTGGCGTCGACATCTGCCGCCTCATCTTCTACTCGACATGGCCTCCGACTGCAGTATGGATCAATCACGCACCGCACGGGTGCACCAGCTGCAAGCGTTGTCCCTCCAGCTTACATTTGACAACCTCCTCATCATCTTCAATCGCCCGTTAATCGCAAAACAAGTGGACCACCTCATCAGGACGCAACCGGAAAGCGGGCATGGTAACGCACTATCTCCAGCAAGCCTTACCAACACCGAATCCCCATTTCATGCGGTTCATGAGTCCAGCCCGCTCAACAGAAGCCATATGTCGAGCACGGAGCAATGGTGGGACGCCGCGTTGAGAACATCGAAGGTGACTGAACTACCGCGGCTTTCTCAGCTAGCCACTGATAGCCACCTGGTAGCTTTCTTGGCTATCAATCTGTTCAACTCCGCCATCGTCATGGCGGTTTTGGCGCTGTCTGACCCACTCTCGGACAGAGCACAGGAAGTGAAAAGGACCATCACACGCATATTTCGCTTGCAAGAGCTACTCGGCAAAAGGACACAGCTCTCGATGCAGAGTAATGCGGTGCTCAAAGACGTCATCCAGATGCTACTGCGCAGAGAAGCGGATGCTATCTTTGGCGAGAGCGATGTGACAAGATCGCACACCGGGACGGCGCAGATGTCTGTTGAAGATACCCTTCGTCTGCCGACGCAACTGCCATCGAGTGGACACAACAGACAGCAACAGAGTACAGTAGACAGTATGCAGCGCGTTCACGAGAGCATGGCGTCAGTGCAGAGAGGTAAGACTGATGCATTCCCGAAGCTGCGTACCAATCTAACCACATACTCTTCACAGTGTTTCCCGCCGCCCTCGACAACGTCTCCCGCGACGACACAGCTTATATCCCGCAATGGGGCACGAACGACGGTGGCATGAATCACCTGCCTAGCGAACACAATGATTGGACAAATGCTAGCGCCGGAGACTTCAACCTCGAAGGCGAGCTGGACTGGATCAGCGATGAAAATGGTGTTGATGTTACTGGCAACGGCCTATACTGGTTCTGGGATTCCGTCTGGAACGAGCCACAATTCTAGCTGTCGCATCATAAACATCCTTTGGGGGGCACGCGTCTCGATTCGAGCTATTTCATTATTGCGATATGTGTTCAGCGCATCACAGACTAGAGCCTCGGGAGATCAGACACACGCCTGTGCTGCTCGGTGCGACCCTCTGCGAACGCCCTATCGATGCCCGGTCCATATATGAGCGACTTGATGCCGACTCTATCCGCAACATTCTGAAAAGCCTGTTCCGCATCTGAGAAGGCGAACTCATGAGTAATAAGACTATCTAGTTGAACACGGTTGGATTCTAGTAGCTGGATGGCAAGCTTGTAGTCTCCTGGTCCGTATCGAAAGCTTCCTTTGAGCGTAGCTTCTTTGTCGCAAATCTGGCCGATTGGAAATGCGATCTTGGGAGAGCCCAGCCCAGCTTGAACGAAGACTCCACCGCGTTTCAATGCAGCTACACCACAGTTGATGCATGGCTCTGCTCCTGTTGCATCGATCACAACATCAAACCCTGCATCCAGCCCAGCCTTCTCCAAAACTTTCTGAGCATTCGTTTCTGGAAACCCAGCTTCCATCATGTATACGCCATCGGCACCGAATTCTGTCGCAAAGCTCAGCCTGGCGGCCACTGCGTCAATAACCACGACTTTCGCAGCGCCGAAAGCCTGTGCCACAGTGCAACACAGCAAGCCTATGGGCCCGGCACCGAATACCGCCACAGACCTGCCCTGAAGACTTCCGGCGAGTCCGCAACAATGCACAGCTATGCTTAGCGGCTCCACGAGGGCACCTTCACGGAAGGATATGTGTGACGGCAGCTTGTAGCAGCACTCTTCGGGTAGGCAGTAGAAGGTCGATAATGTGCCATTGTAGGGAGGGGTAGCAGCGAACTGCATCGATTCGCATAGGTTATATCGGCCGCTTCGACATGTCTCGCAGATGTTGCATCCTACGCCAGGTTCCAGTGCGACGCGGTCACCCACCGACAACCCTGTGACGGCTGATCCACAAGCATCGACGATACCAGCAGATTCATGGCCGAGAGTGATCGGGTTCTCGACCACATATCTTCCGATTTGCCCATGTTGCCAGTAATGTACCTAGATCGCCGTCAACGTTGATGAACACACTACAGACCACAGCGGGCGATACGTACGTCAGAACCACAAAGACCGGTAGCCACAATCCTCACGCGAATGTGCCTGGGAGTTGGAAGACTTGGAACTGGACCATGCTCGTATGAGAATACCCTGGATGGGCTCAGGACGAAGGACGTGTTGATCGGTGCTTTGCATTGGTCCTCTGACAGCGTCAAAGACCCGGAGGAGTTCTTCGCTTCGCGAACATCAGCTGGAGAAAACATTACTGCGAAACACAATGTACGGCAATGATTAGAGTTGGTGTGTCCATCTTGATGCTCTGACTATATTACCGGCCAGGCATTCTTGCCCGAGTGCGAGAGCGAGAGCAGCACGGTTCCGGCGGCTCATGCAGGCTGCTGACCTTCCGATGCGCACGAGTCGGAGCCGCCAGCCCGGAGTTCTCTGCCCCAGCACCGGTTCCGCGGCTTTTGAGAAGAGCGCTTCTGATTGGCTGGCAAAGCATCCCTTAGCGCTACAGCGTTGATCAACTTCTCGAGAAACACACTAGCATATGCCGACCAAATTTCGTCGCTGCAGGGCCAACGTTAGGACCGGAACCGTAACATGACCTGACTACATACGATGATGCCGAATGCGCTCCACTACGAAAATCTGGGGACGATAAAGCCGTCAGGCTTCCCCAGATTTCTCCATCATCCCACCGCATCTCCTCTGTGTGATCCATAACACGCACTACTTCTCTGCTCTTATTTTACTCTACACTGGTTGAGAATATGGCTGCCCGCAGTAACTCAGTCGCCAGTCAGAGCGCCAACATCCAGCAGCGTGCCTCGCAAATAGCTGGACAGGTCGCTGCTGAACAAGGATGGCTTGAAAGCAAGCTGAAGCCGAAGAAGATCACGGCCAGGTACCCTATCAAGGGCAAGACATTGTTGTTCGCAACATGTGGCTTTGGCAGTCTCGGTGATGCCTTGTTTGGTTACAACTCAGGTGTGTTCGGGTAATTGCATGTTGATCAACAATACTGATTCCGCTAGGTATCATGTCTGGCCTACTGGTTAACCCAGTATTCGTCAGGCGTTTCTTCAGCGAGTACGGTGGCGCAGATGGTAGCACAGCAGCCGTGAATCCATCCATCACAGGAATCTCCGTTGCTTGCCTACAAGCCTCTGCCGCTGTCGGTGCTCTCATCGCCGGACGTCTCGGAGACATGATCGGTCGCAAGCGCACTGTCCGTCTCGGTGGTCTCATCTACTTCCTTTCAGCTTTCATCCAGATCTTCGCTCCAGGCTTCGCAACTTTCGTCGTCGGACGTACGATCCAGGGCTTCGGAGTCGGCTTCCTATCCATGACAGTTCCTATCATCCAAACCGAGATTGCAGCACCCCATGCTCGAGGCCTCATGGTCGGCATCGAGTATACTTGCCTGATTGCAGGGTACATGTTATCTTGCTGGGTCGACTACGGCTTCCACTTTATGCTTCCGGACGCGCTATCTTGGCAAGGCCCCTTCATCATCCAGATCATCCTCTCGTTCATCTTGGTGGTCATGTCATTCTTCCTGCCGGAAACTCCAAGATGGCTGGCCAACAACGGCTTCATGCAAGAAAGCCTTCAAACAGTCGCAGACCTGCACTCGAGCGGCGATACCGACGCACCGCATGTGCAAAAGGTCTTCCTCGAGATCCAAGAGGCCGTCGTTTACGAAGCTGAGCTCGGCAAAGCTGGTTGGATGGAAATGTTCACCCGCTACCGCAAGCGCACAATCGTCGGCGTTACAGTGCAGATGTTCGCCCAGCTCAACGGCATAAACATCATATCCTTCTACCTCCCCTCCACCCTCTCCAGCGCCGGCTTCTCAGACGAGAAATCCCTTCTCTACACCGCCGCGAACGCACTCCCTTACACCGCAGCCACTGTCGCAACCTGGTGGCTAGCCGATCGTTGGGGACGCAAGCCTCTCCTCATCCTCGGCGGTGTGCTGATGGCAGCCCTTCTCGGCATCGTCTGTGCCTTCACAGAAGCCTCCATGCCTATCATGACACGCGCAAACGGACAATTCGCTTTCATCATGCTGTACAACATCGTCTACGGTTTCACCTGGGGTCCAATGCCATGGTTGTTACCTGCGGAGATCTTCCCGCTCCGCAGCCGCAGTAAGGGCATGGCGCTTGCGACGACGTCAAACTGGGTCTTCAACTTCATCATCGGCATGGTTTCGCCGGACGCTTTTGCGGGAATCGGTGGGTACTTTTACCTTGTCATCGCAGGGTTCTGTCTCTTCTCCGCGGGCCTGGCGCACTTCTACTATGTTGAGACGGCGAATCATTCGCTTGAGGAGATTGCGATTGCATTCGGAGATAGGGCTTTTGCTGATGGGGATGGTGAGGTTATGGAAAGTGTCAAGGCTCATGATGAGAAGATGCATAATGATAAGGTATGAGGGGCTGTGGGTTTCGATCAAATATATAGTTCAAGCCAGTTTGGCGATGTATTTCTCTAAGCTCAACCCGAGATTCACAACAAACTGCCACTGCGTATTACCGCGAAAGAACCTCGACCAAATGTTCAACACGGCCAGACCAAGCGCGAAGGGCTCGCTGGGTACAGTCAAGAAACCATCAGTCTCTTCAGCATCCTCAAAGTCAATCACCGCGTACGCTTCTTTGATGATACATCTCACCCAGTGAAGAATGCGATGCTCAGATCGCGACAACGACTCCTCGCGGAACGGCCTCGGAATAGAGCACAGCCATTTACCGAGGAAGATTGCGCACTCGAAGCTCGATATGGCATGCTGAACGCTCCAAAAGAACGCTTGGCTGCGCGCGACCCTGTCGATACCTAGTCGGACGGGTATACTGAGTGCATGGGTTGAATACAGCAGAGCTGACAGTATATTGTCATTGCGTTCGATGTCTGGAAGGTTTGCTAGGCCGTTGGCTATGACGTCGGTGTCGCGCGATTCCAGATGGCGGTATGGTCCTATGTCGAGGGAGAGCCGCACGTAAGCCACCACCAAAAGAGCGCTTGAAGTGAAAGGGATAGGCCCGCTCTCGTTGTTGGGGTCGAGCATTGATTCTGGGGTCTGTTGCCAGAGAGACGTCCATGCGCGGAGTGCGCGGCCAATGACTTGTAGCTCTGCGGCTGAGATTGTTGCAGGTGATGTGGCGGGGAAGGAGAGTTCCCTGACTACATGAATCCGCTGAAGCAGTGCATGGAGAAGGATGTAGTTGCCGATTGGGCTCGGAATTGGATGGACTAGTTCTGAAGAATGTCAATTCACGTTCGATAGCTCTTCCGATAGTAGCTCACCTTCATTTGTCGTTCCTTGCAAAAGTATCGACAACGCTTGCTGAAATGGCATGTGATCCTCGCGTCCGTCGCGTTGTAGTGCAGCCCACTGTGCGGCACTACTAGCCTGCCAATCCGGTGTACAGCAAGGGAGTCGCAGATGAAGTTCGCTGCTCCAAAGCAGGGGATGGATGTTGTATGCAATACTATGCACGTTGATGTAACAAAAGGCCACGAGCTTTGTACGTCTGGATGACTCGCGCTGTACCCAATTATCCCACATTGCTGCTCTAGAGGTCGATATATTCCTGGGCGGCTCCTCTTCTTTGAGACCTATATCTCGAAGTGACTGCACTAGAAGGCCTCGAAGTGCGAACGCTTGCTGAAGTAGGTCTTTCCTTTCCCACGTCGCAAACCCTACCAGGATCAGGAGGGTTTTCGCCATGTCCAAAGGCGACCACGGTCCTGTGCGTCTGCTAATGAAATGCGCTTCTGGCGAGCATATGTTCGTAGAAGCGATGAAGGAAAGAGTTTGTGGCCCGAAATGCGACTCTTCTTGTCGTAGGCGTTCGAAGACAATGGCTTTCGAGACACGAAAGAGACGTTCGGAGCTTCTTCGCTCGAAGCAGTACTGCGCTCCAGCAGCGCACATGGCCAGTGTCAACTCCAAAGGTGAACATGACGGTTTGTAAGTTGGCGCATGTATGAACGGGAAGTGCGAATGAAAGCCACCAAAGAACGCGGTAATATACCTAGTAAGGGTATGTCGGGAAGGGATCTGGAAGTCGGCGATGGGAGGAGCGAAGCTCTCAAGAAGCGACACCAGGAAGTTGCGATGCTCATCCGTTACGTTGTACGTTCCGTTTCTCGTTCTCTTTTCGCCATCCTGTGTGTTGGATCGCAAATGGACCTCATCGTCAGCTGGAGCTGATGGTAGCCATGTGCTGAAAGGCGTGCCGATGTCCTCTGCACCTGGGGAGGAAGGCTGATTTTCTGGTTCTCGGGAGTGCCGCCGAGATTCCTGACGAGGTTCTCCTAGTCGCATCCAGTCAAAGTCGTACTCAGGCGTCCATTGAGCGGATAGTCCAACACCATCGATGAAGTTTACAAAGTCACGGAAATCTTCAAACCCTTCGTCGCGATATGGCGGCGCCGGCTGGAGTTCTTGATAGGTGGGCGGAGGATGTTGCAAATCAAGCTGGCTTGCGTGGACCTGCGGGACGAGATGCGCTTCGACGGCCCCAGCGCTGGGGACGTTCAAAGCCGGTGCGTCTATTGTCGTCGCTGTTTCAGTCGACGTTGTCGACTCTGCATCAGGATTGCCAGCATGGTGCGTGATGCGCCAATGTCTAGTAAGCAAGTCACGTCGTGTAAACGCTTGTCCGCATCGACACGAGTACGGCTTCTCTCTAGTATCTGTGCTGACATCAGTTCTGACGACGCCCTCATCGTGGAGTCACTTAGAGGAAGGCACGAACGTGTACGAGTATGGCGAATCAGATGCTCTGCTCGCTTGAAGCTTCTGGAGCAATGGGTACAAACGTGAGCGAGTCCGTGCATGTGGTGTGAGAATTGTTGGAGTTGGAGGTGAATTGGAGCGAGGTGGGTCTTGGTCTTTACTTCAAGGTTTTGCCCTCGGCCAATTATGTCTGCGGGGTAAATAGCGCCGTGGTTAGCGCAAGGCGTATCTTCGGAGTAGGTGGAACGCTTACTCCAAGATAGCGGAACTCGACGGGATGGCCGCCGAACGTATCGCCGGTAGAACGTCGTGTCGGTAAGCTATCCCTTAACCAATCTTGAGTGCATTCATGCGTGCATCAAATCAATCAGTGGGCGCGTATCTCGGTAGATCACGCTTTCACCGCCACATGATAGCAGTATGGCATCGCTTGCAAGATTGCTCCCAGGTGTAGCCGTCATCACAGGCGCTGGAGGAACTGGTAGGTGGCTATCTTATGCGACGTTGAATTGCCATGCTCATGATGATCAGGCATTGGTGCGGCCGTAGCGAAGGGGTTCGCCCGTTCAGGCTGTTCGCGAATCGCCATCACCGACATCAACCCGAAGACGCTCGACCAGACCAGGGACGCTATCCTGCGCATTAATCCTTCCGCTCAGGTCTTCCAGCGAGCTGGCGACATCGCGGATGAGACGTTCGTCAACTCATTCAACGATGAGACCTTTTCCAAGTTCAAGAGGCTTGACTATGGGGTCAACTGTGCTGGTGTGCTCGGAGGCGATGTCATCAAAGCTGTAGAGATGACGACCGAACATTTTGATCGACTCAATGCTATCAACTATAAGGGGTCATGGCTTAGTTGCCGTGCGCAGCTGAGGAACATGTTGAAGCAGCAGCCTCTTGATCAGCATCCCAAGCAGAGAGGCTCTATTGTCAATATCGCTAGTCAGCTCGGCATTGTAGCGAGGCCCGGTGCTGGTACGTTGACCGTTTCGTAAAATGCGAAATATCTGCTAATGAGTATTGTACAGCGGCATACTGCGCTTCAAAGGGTGCTATCATCAATATGACACGCGCAAACGCTATCGATTACTCCGATGATGGCATACGCGTGAACTGTGTTTGTCCTGGCGTTATCGAGACACCCATGACTACGACGTCGCCAGCTATGGTGGAAGCTTTGAAGCCTGCTATTGAGATAGCGCCTATGAAGAGAATGGGCACGCCAGAGGAAGTCGCTGACGCAGTGCTGTTCTTGTGTTCAGCACAATCATCGTTTATCCAAGGGCATGCACTGGTTGTTGATGGCGGCTACACGATAAATTGATCAGAAAGATGTCGCAGTGACGAAGCATTTGCTTGAAATAGCGAAGCCAATTTTCGGATATTTGTAATAACGACATATTCTACAGCTTCGTGGCATGCTTCGACTCTTGGTCTTGGCGCACACCTATTTGTTTCCAGTCGTTTGCCGACTCCCAGGCAAAAGCCGCATCTAGTATTTTTTGTTCCTGCCAAAGGCCACTGACCAACTGCATACCAACAGGCAAGCTGACCTCAGAATCAACACCCGAAGACGCAAAGCCTACGGGAAGTGACATGGCCGGATGCCCCGTTACATCGAAAATAGCGGTGTTGATGGTGATGCCCATACTTGGCTTCAGCGCGTCTATCGGCGCATCCTCCCCGCGCTTCCAGTCTATGTTGGGCGGTGCTACAAAAGGCGTTGTCGGCATAATGATAAGGTCATACTCCTGAAACAGCTTCTCATACGCGTCGCGGAGCTGTTGGGCCACATTCATGGTTTTCGCGTAAAGGCCCGGGTAATTCTGCATCAGCGAGAGGCCGTTGATCATAGTATTCTTCGTAGATGGAAAGAGCTTTTGGAATGTTTCGTTCGTCCATGGTTGTCGCGCCGCTTCGTAGGCTGTTGAGAATAGTCCTCTCCGACCGTGCGCGTAGCCCAACATGCTGAAGGTACCTGCGATTCGCTGTTGGATGGTCCAAATAGCTGGCCCTTCTAGGTGAAGGGGTAATGAGACCTCTTCGACGGTAGCACCTAGTTCTTCAAAGGACTGAACGGCTTTTCTCACGGTTGATTTGACGTCTTGGTTTACGAGACGGTGCTCGAAGCCTTCTTTAAGAACGCCAATCTTCAATCCTGCGACCGAGCTTTGAAGACGTTCTGCGTATTGCTCAGACCCATGGGTTGGTGCACCAAGTGTACGGTCATCATAGTCATCCCTTCCGCCGATTGCGTCAAGACACAAAGCAACGTCGCGAACTGATCTTGCTATGGGCCCAGCGTGATCACTGACAGCGTCGCCACTGGATATACCAGTGTAGGGAACAAGTCCATGCGTTGGTTTTAGTCCAACACCTAGTGTAGATCGTCAGCTTCGCACTACATCATGATGTAATACGCAACAGTAATTGTGTACTTACACCCACAGAATGACGATGGGACACGAATACTTCCGCCTTGATCGGCACCAATCGCGATATCTACCAAACCGCCACCGACTACTGCACAGCCACCAGACGTACTGCCACCAGCGGAGTACCCTCTCGCATACGGGTTGTGAACGGTACCTTGCGCCGAAGTGAATGACGATGTGGAGTTGCAGAAGTTTTCGCATATGGTCGTTCCCACGATGTCAGCACCAGCATCTAATGTGCGGGTAACTACT